ATGAGGCCACGCCCCCCGCTCCGCCCCGCTGGCCAATGGGACGCGGGCGGGGGCGGGGCGGGGGCGGGGCTTGTCCCGCATTGTAACTCTTTGAAGTACCCAGAAAGCGGAAGGGGAGAAAGTGGGTGCGCGCGCCGCGCCGGGGATGGGGGGGGGCTCTTAAAGGGACCGCGCACCGCAATCTCGGTGCCCCTCTTCCCCTTCGTCCCCCCCCACGCTCACGGGAGGAGGTGCTCCAACGCCCCCCCACARCCCGCTTCGCTCTTGTCCGCCTCTGGATACCCACACCCACCCGCCCAGCGGAGGATTGGGGCACCCACATGAGGGAAAACACGGGGGGTGGATGCTCCAGGGGGGGCAGGGAAGAGATGGGAACACACTGCGGGGAAGAAGGGAGAGGGATGGGGAATACCTGAGCTGTCCCCCCAGGCTCRGAGAGAAAGGGTTGGGGCACCCATGTCACCCTGGGGGTATAGAGTGTCGGTACCCGGGGGCATTCCCTGATCTGTCTGTACCCGGAGAAATCTTGCTCCCGGGATGGGGGTGGTGATGGAGACACGGACATGGACGCAGGCTACCCAGCCAGACTGCTGGGAGGCCAGAAGGGGCACCCGGGGCCCTGCATCCCTCGGCAAAGCCCAGACCCTGCAGAACGACGGCTGGGAGACAGGAGATTCCCTGGGCAAACACACGTGAGGAGTGTGGGCAGCCTCAGCACACGCCCGGGGGGAGTCAAACTGATCCCCCACTGCCCAGAACCCTTGGGTGCCTGTCGGGACCCCACCGTACCCACACAGGAGCGTGGTGACCACCAGGCCGCTCAGCACATTCCCGTGCCTCAGTTTCCCCCGAGTGAGCTGGGACACTCCAGCCAGTCGTGGGCAGCCAGGCCAGGGCACCTCCAGCCCAAAGCGGCCGCTGGCCCCCTCCCCTCACACCGGGGCCGCGGCGGCGAGGCCCAGGCGCCGGCATGTGCTCAGCCCAGTGGAATGTGCCAAATCACTCCCAGATGTGCACGGCGGCCAGCCCGACCCCCCTGCGCTCCCACCGGGGCCACCGGGGACCCCTTGAGCACCGCACCGCGGGGCCGAACCCATCACCGGGCGGGCCCGGTCCCCGTCCCGTCCCGCGGCGTCGCGGCACCGACGCCCGGCAGCGCCCCGGCGGCGGGGCGGGCAGGAACGGCGGCGGGTGCCAGGGCGCGGCAGGAGGTGCCACGGGGACAGGGTGGCCGCGTCCCCGTCGCGCTGAGGCCCCGCGGAAGCTCGGGCGGCGCGGGCGCGGCGGGGTCGTGCGGGGTCCTGCCCCGCACCCCCGGCCCCGGTGCCAGGCGGGAGCAGCCGAGCGGAAAGGGGCTGTCAGATGGAATCTGGGTGCCGGCGGTGACGGCGCGGCGGGAGGCGGCCGTGCCCGCCACGTGGCCGCTTATGTAAGGAGAGTGCAAGGGAGGACAGCGAGGCGGCCGGGGCACCGGGGACACCGCCGAGGGGACACCGAGCCCCCGCCGCGCTCGGCCGGACACGCACGCGTGGGGCTGCTGGGCGCTGTCCGGCCCCGTGGGCACGGCACGTGTGMGCGGGGACAGGGGACACACGGCCGCGCGTGTGTGGCGGAGCAGGGGGACAGGACCCCGGCGGCCGCTCTGCCTCCCCACGCCGTTGCCGGGTGTCCCGGGGTGTCCCCACGCCGCTCCGCTCCCGCCGCAGCGCTGCCAGCCCGTGGTGACGAACGGCTCCGGCGGGAGCTCCGGCACCCACGCGCCTGGATCCAGCTGCGCCATCGATTTTTCATCCACTGCGGCAGAGAGCGGAGCTGGGGCTGGCACTGGCGTGGCCAGGGGGGCTGCGTCCCCCACGCTGTCCCGGTGTCGCCATCTCCGCCCATACAGCCAGAGCACCCCAGGGACAGTGCCAGGACTGACAACCCTCCAGCCTCACCGTGGGGTGCTCTCTATGTGACAGGCCCAGATGTGGGGTTGTCCCCGTGCCCTGCCTGCACCTGCCCGTGCCACCGTCACCTCGCCCATCACTGCGGGGTGACACAGGGGGACAGAGGGAGCAGGATGCCTGCCTGCATCACCAGCGCGTCACCGCGGACCCACAGGCTGCCAGGCGCTTCCTTCCTGACACTGTCACTGCGTGCCCTGTCACCGTGTGCCATGTCCCCCGTGTGCCATGTCCCTCCCCGGGGCTGGACGTGGCCGCCGTGCTCCGTGGGCAGCTGGGGACCCCCGGGCAGCCCCCGCTATCAGCCCAGCTCTGCCCACGGGCGGGACGCTGCCGGTACCCGCTCAGCCCCGGGTGACAGGTGGCAAGGTCACAGCGCCCGCTGAGCCCCACGGCGTGGGGAGGGGCAGGGACAGGGTCCCCCCCGGTCCCCTGAGGCGGTGAGGGCACAGGGACACAGCCCAGAGCGGGCACAGCCTGGGCTGACCCCGGCGCCCGCCCGTGCCGCCGCACACGTCCGACACATGGCAGTGCCGGCTATAAATAGCGCCGGCAGCCAGGGCTGAGCCTGCTCGGGGCCCTCGGGGCTCCCAGATTCCCCCGTGCCCCCCCTGCCTCGGTTTCCCCACTGCTCCCCACACCCAGCGGGGAGTGATGTGTCCCCAAGGTGTCCCCTGGCCCTGCAGCAGCGGGGAGGGGGGGCTGCCCAGTCTGTGGTGGCACCCAGGAGCCTCCCCTTTGTGTTCTTGTGCTGGGTACCCAGTGCTGGTGTCCSCCTGTCCTGTGCCCTGAGGGGATCCCACAGGCCACAGAGGCAAGGGGGAGCTGGGACACAGCAGGGCCACCTCAGGGGCTACGGGGAAACTGAGGCACACTAGGGATTCCGCTACATCCTCCCYCTTCCACAAATACCCCATCCCTGGCCAGGAGCTGCTGAGGGGCTGCAGGGGGTCCTGGGGGACAGGGTGGGATGGGCAGAGGTAGGGTGTGATGGAGGGACGTGGGGAACAAGCAGAACCTCCTCCCCTTCCACTCCCTCCCCTCATTTTGAGCCCCCAACACCCCCCCGCAACRAGGAAGCTGCAAAATTAGGTCAAAGCGTCCATTATTTAACAGAAACGGAGGAGCTGGGGCCGGGAGCTGGGGGGGCGGGCTGGAGCCCAGGAGAGGGGCGGCAGTCCAGGAGAGGGGCTGGGGAAGGCAGGGCCAGGTCCCCAAACCCTGGGGCAGACAGGGATTGGGGGGATCGGGTGAAACAGGGGGACAGAAACCAGAGCTGAACCAGAACGACTTTATTAACAGCAGGAGATAAAGGGGTCCCCATTGTCCCTMCAACCCCRGGGGTCCMTGCACCCCCTCTGCCACTGCTATGGGAAGATCCTCCTTGCAGCCAGAGGGGTCCAGAAGGTTCCGGAGGGCCACAGAAGATTTGGGAGCAAACACRGTCCATGACTCGTGGCAGGTGCAGCATTGGACCTCAGGATCACAAACCGGGGTGCAAGGGGGGCCAGGAGCACCCACCATTCCCTGCAAAGGGGCTGGGGGGTGTTCCAGCCTCCTGCCTCAGCTCCCACCACACAGAAATAATAATAATATAACATTAATAATATTACTATATTAAAAATATTAATAAAAACAYCCCAGACTGACAGCCCCAGGGGCAGAACGTGATGAAAGGCAAAGACGGTGGGAGCCATTTGTCTGCTCTTGGCACAGCGGTGAAATTCCCCCTGGGGCCATGGGGAGGGGGCTGCTGGGGGGTCAGTGCAGCCCCTGGGCCAGGATGCTGCCCACCAGCGCYGTGTCCTGCAGTCTGTGCTCCAGCGCTGCCTCCTCCAGCGCCAGGGAAACCTGGGGGAGGAGAACAGAGATGGTCAGCCCCACATTGCCAGATCCCACCCCGTTCCCATCACCATCACCAAACCCTGCCCTGCCAGCCCACGGTACCTTGGCCAGCCGGGCCTCCTTGGCTTTCTTGAGCTCGAGAACACCGCGGGAYTCCAGGAGGGTGACAAGGGACAAACATTCGGCCTGGTCAACAGCGGGGAGCTGCTGCCGCCGGCACACCTGGCTGTAGGTGTCGTGGAGCTGGGGAGGGCAGGAGGGGGGGGTTACACCACAGCAAATCACCCAAGGGACACCCYAGGGACAGCCACTCACGGAGAGGGTCCCACGGCCACTCACCTTGCCCAGGGTGACCTCACGGGCGTGCGAGTGCCGGGCAAGCAGGAGCAGGGAGCAGAGCAGCACCTTCTGCTGCAGAGGGAAGGTGTCCTGGGCCCCCCGGGATCCCCCTGCCAGCCGGTCCCCAAACACCTCCGAGAGCACCCGGGAGATGTGCGGGAGCCCCACGCGCTTGGGGACGGGGGACACCRGGGAGTCACCTGTGGGACAGAGAGGGGATGGCAGGGAGGTGAGAAAGAGGTGAAAATGGAGAGAGGTGCCCCAAAAAGGGAGCTCAGACTCGCACTGAGGTGACGTGGAGCAGCCCCCAAAAGTTTTGGCTCTGGCAGCAGCAAAGACTCACCCCCAGGGAGCGGCTTGAGCAGGGTCTGGCCTCGCACCTCCAGCTCYACCACCTCCACGGCGCGCCTGGGGAGGGACAGCTCTGAGCCCCGGGCAGAGCGAACAGCCCTGCCATGGGCACTCTGGGGAATCACAGGGACCGAGCTGACCCTGGCACTGCTGGGTTTGGGGCACACACTGACCTACAAACATCCAGGGCTTTGCGAGCATCACCGGAAACCGCCGAGACCTTGCGGGCACAGAACTGGAGCGCAGCAGAGTCCAGGACAGGGTCACCGGCCACCTGTGAGGCACCGGGGCAGTCAGTGCTGCCATCCATGAGGGCAGAGGGCCCCCTGTCCCCACTCCTGTCCCCACTCCTGTCCCCATTCCCTGTGTCCCCACCTGCCCCAGGCGCTCCTGCAGGATGCGGGTGAGCTGCTCCTTGGTGTAGGGTGGGAAGTGCAGCAGGCGGGGGCTGCCGGCCGGGTGGGCTCCCAGCCTGGCSAGGCTCCGGTCTGTCAGGTCCAGGGCATTGGCCAGCCCTGCAGGGTGAGGAGAAGAGGARGATGATGAGGACTGTCCTCCAAGGAGGAAGCAGGAAGGGGCTGGAGAGGCAACTCCCTCATCAAACCCCCAAAAGAGGGAGGGTGCCCAGGGCAGCAGTGCCAGGCTCTGCACACTCACCCACGAGGACGAGCCTGGAGCTGGGCAGTTGGGGCCACTCAAAGAGGGTGTAGAGCACRTCCTGGCCTTTGCTCTCCAGCTGGTCCAGCTCATCCAGCACCAGGAGGCTGCRGGAGAGCCCAAATCAGCCCCTCAAAGCACCCGAAGCAGGGAGAGCAGAGCTGCTGCCTCTCCCAACATCCAGGGGGGGATCCCACACCACCCACCAGAGCCAGGGAACTCACACCATGGGTCCCTGGGCCATCAGATGCTTCTCCAGGCTCCGGACACGCTCCCGGCCGGTGGCTGYGGGCAGCCCCAGGTGCTGTGCCAGMGCAGGGAACACGCCGTGGGGGCTGCCCAGTGCCATGCAGTTCAGCACCACGGTCCTGCTCCCGGCCAGCTCGTCCTGCCAGGAATGGGAATGTTACACTGGCCCCTGACTGCTGCCCCCAGCACTCACAGCAGCCCCATGGCAGTGGACACAGCACAGACCTTGCAGTCGAGCAGAACGCGGCTCAGACAGGCGGTTTTCCCTGTCCCAGGGGCTCCGGACACGTAGAGGCTGCCGGGACRGTGCCCCAGGATGTGATCCCGCAGGAACTGCCGGAGGATTCCCGTCTCCCTCTCCCTGCCCTGGAGCCGGTCAGGCACGGCTGCGTGCAGCACCTGCTTGGCCCGCTGGTAACAGGAACCTGGAGAGGGAGGGAGAGGGCTCAGGGAGGAGTGGAGCACTGCTGGGACCCCATCCCACCCTATTCTCACCCTCATCCATATCCCTGCCTTCATGTCTATCCCTAGCCCCATACACCCAACCCTATCCCTGGCTCCATCCCCACATCCCCATCSTYTGCTCCACCCTCAACTCTACCCCTTATCCATATTACCATCCCTATCCATTCCCCCATCCCTATCCCTATCTCATCCCCACATCCCCATCCCACCCATAACCCCACACCCAGCCATACCCACACTCACCTTCCTGCCTGAAGAGCTGGGTGCGTGGGTGCCCCAAGCTCCGAGGGGTTTCTGGCCCCCCATTCCGCGGGGATGGCTCCGGGCTCTTGGGCTGCTCSGGGGAGGTTGAGGGGTCCCCGAAGAGCAGGCGACGGCCCCGGTTCTCCTTGCTGCGCTTGGCCGGGGAGCCRGGCAGGGCATGGGGGACGTTGCACAGGTTGTCATCACCTGCAGGGGTGACAGGCTGGTGGTAACACGGGGCTGCTCTTCCTAGGGGTTCAGCGGCCCCCAAAAATCTCGCGGGAGCAGGGATCTTCCCCCCCGAAATGGGGGTGAAGCCACAAACTCAAACACATCTGCCCGCCCCAGCCCCCAGGGATGAGAAGGGGGATGCGCCCCCCACCATTCCTGGAGGGTCCCAGCAGAGGAGGCAGAAGAGGGACTCACCCAGGCGCTTGCGGGGGCTCAGAGGTTGCACTTTGGGGCTCAAAGGCTGCGCTGGAGCCCGACCTGAGCGTGTGCCCGGGGTGGCCTGGCCGGGGTCGCTGCGGCCCGAGGCTTTGGGGCGCGGCGAGGGGCTCAGAGCAGAGCTGTCGGGGTCACTCTTGGCCGGGGGTGCGGCGAGGCGGCGGGCGCTCCTCGTGCGGGGGAAGCCGATGGTGGGCTGGCTCTGCGGGCTGGTGGTGGCCATGGTGGGGGCTGCGGGAGGAGGCGGTCAGAGGCGGGRACCAGCYGGCCAGRTGAGGGAGAGCCCCAGCCCCGCRGGTCCCGGCCACCCCATACCTCCCMGATCCCCGCCCYYASCCCTCTGCCCCCCATCTCTGTCCCTCGTGTCCCCTCCAAGCCCCCTCKGGTCCCCTCCGGGTCCCCGCGCTGCCGCCACCAACCTTCTCGCGCCAAATCAGCCCCGGCTCCGCACTTCGCGCCACCAGGCCGAGCTGGCTCCGCCCCCTTCGTCCTATTGGCTGCACCGCCGTCTCCGCCGCCAATCGCCGCGGCCGGAGGCAGGGCCGCAACAGAGCAGCCAATCAGCGAGCGCAGCCGAGGCACRGCGGAAGGTGCCGAGCGCGGCGTGCGGGGCATGCTGGGAGCTGTGGTCTTGCGGCGGATGCTCAGCGCTCCCAGTACTCCCAGTATCCCCAGTACCCCCCAAATGCTGCCTTCCCCGTACTCCCAGTGCCACCAGTACTCCTATAYTGCCTTTCGAATGCCAGCCAGTCGTGTCTCTCCGTGCTCCCAGTACTTCCCACCCTTCCTCCCAGTATTCACCGCTCCGCTTCCCCCATGCTCCCAATGCCCACGCCCCCCAATCCCCTCTCCCGCTGCTCCCAGTACCCACAATCCTCCTTCCCCGTAGTCCCAGTGCCACCAGTAGCCCCCATCTTGCCTTCCTCGTGTCTCTCTGTGCGCCCAGTACCCTCCATCCCTGCTGGGCTGCAGAGGGCCCTGTGCCCGGCCCCTCAGRTATCACCCCCAAGAAAGAAAATGAGGTTCCTGGGAAACCTCTCTTAGACAGTGTCCTTGACATCATTTATCACTTTATTTATTACTTTTATTTAAATGCAATTTCCAGCTCCTCCAAATTCCTTTGTTCCCTTTTAAAAGGGCCCCTCGCTCCGGGAGGGGCAGAACCGTGTTGAACCTTCGTTTATAACCCAAAGGGCAGCGCTGGGGGGGCTCAACCTCTAGAGAAACCCCCCACTTACCCCTCACCCACCTTGCTCCAGCCTCAACAGGGAAAGGTCCATCATCATAGAAAAAAATCCCCTGAAAGAGCCCCAAACCGCCTGGGGGGGTGCAGCCCCCCCCTGCGACCCCTCCCCTTCCTTTACAGGTACAAAGAGATCAGTAACTACGTTAGTGTGACCCCCCCCGCGGGAACACGGAGAGTCCGGCCGGGATCACCCGTCGGACAGGGAGTGTAAGGCAAAACATCACCGGCACCCCCGGCACGGCCCCAGGGCCCCTCCACACACCCCCGATGCGCCAGACTCCATAGAATGCCCCCCCCCCCCATGTAATTAGTGTTTTCTTGTTAAAATGTTTAAGTTTGGAGGGGTCAGCAGTGAGAGCCAGGGGAATCCCGGGGGGGAGCGCCAGGGGAGCAGCGGTTTTGAGGGGGGCACATGGGGGTGCCCCCCATGTGGGGTCAGAGGAAAGGGGGTCCCCAGCAGCCCAGTGCTGTCAGGGTCCCCTCGGATGGTCCCACTCACATTCCCTCCCCCACCTCCACTGGCTCCTGTGCAAAAAAGCAATGGGCTGTGCCGGGATAACGAGGTTCCGCCGGGATGACGAGGTTCCACTGGGATAATGAGGCTTTCCTGGGATAASCAGGCTCTGCCGGCCTGTCCCTGCTCCCCCTTGCTCCAGGGGTCTTGCAGCACGTCCATCCCCTGCCCGACCCCAGCCCCTCTCCATGAGCCCCGCTGGTCCCAACAGCCGGCACACGGCTCTGCCCCGAGTCCCGTGCCCAGCTCCCAGGTGGATCCCGACCCGGGATCCGTGAGGAGGAATGAGGGATGGACCCATCCAGGCTTGCCACGAGGTCACCGAGTCCTGGGGGGTGCATAGATGAGGTGGGGCTGGCAGAGAGCGCTGGGCTGGGGGGATCCGCTCGTCCTGGGAAAAGCGGAGAGGCTGGGAGTGTGTCATGCAGGATCCGGGGGGCTGGGWGCTGGGGGGGTCCGGCGGAGGAAGGGGAACGAGGTCCATGTCTCTGCTCTGCAACAATCCAACTGCACAGCCCGCTTTCACCTGGGGATGGGGGGCAGAGGGGGGGCCCCACGCGTAGCTGGAAGACAAGGAAGCCTGTTGGAAGAGGGAGCTCCGCAGAGCCAGATCCAGCACGTCTGCTTTCCCTCCTCCACACCCCCGCGCCAGCTGCCGGCCCCCCCCCTTCCCGACCTCCCCGCGGAGATCTGGAGCCTGGGATTTGCGCCTGGCAGCAGCCGCTGCAGCCGCACCGAGCTCGGGGCTTTTCAAACCCGCATTAAACATTCATGGCTCTAAAAATAAACGAGCATCCCATTCTCCCCGGAGTCTCCGCCGGGATCCGCAGCGCTGACGCGCGGCACCAAGGGCACTTTGAGCTCTGCCGGGTCCGAGTGCCGGCGCTCGGGGCCCATCCTGGAATACACGGGGGGTCTGCACCCCTCAGCCCCTGCCCAGCCCCAGCTCTGGCCGCAGGATCCTTCAGGATCCCCTCCAGTACTGAAGGTGCTCAGCACAGTCAGGAACGAGCCCTGCGGCATTTCCCAGCAGGCAAACYGGGAGCAGGTGGGATAGGACATCCGCACAGCCCAAATTTCTGGCTCCCCCGCAGCACAGAGAGCTGCTTTCAGGGCTTGGTACCCCTGGGAATGTGGCTCAGCACCCAAGGCAAGGCCGCCGCACCCCCCGCCCCATCCAGGGACAAATAGGACAGGGCCAGCCACAAGGGCACAAGAGGGGACAGAGATTTTGGGACACCCTGTCCGCCTCCTCACCTCTGTTTGTTTTGCTGGGGTAGATTCTCTGGAAGTATTTATATTCCTCTGGGGCTGGGAAGTCTTCGACAGGATGAAAGGAGTATTTGGATTCAAAGTCATCTGTGAAGAAATGGGAAAAGGGGCAGGTTGAGGGAGGGAGGGGGGCTCTGGGGGAGCCTGGCCAAAGCCACAGGGCTCGGCTCTGAGGGGGATCCATGCTCGGCTCTGAGGGTCCCACTCACCCAGGAATGCTCTGACGGTGGAGATGGAGTCCCGGTGCCCGTTCCGCACGGGCGGCGGTGGCGGTGGTGGCCCGGCCGGGGTCCGGGTGGGCGGYGGTGGGGGCTTCCCCCGGCTGGGGGGCTCGGTGGGGCCGTGCAGTCTGTAGGGAGGTGGGGGCGGGGGGGCGTCGCGCCCTCCGTTCCGCAGCATCGGCGGTGGGGGCGGTGGGGCTGCAGGGACAATGGGGACAGYGGGGTGAGCACYGCGTGGCATTCCCGGGGCAAACCCAGGGACATCCCTCGGAGTGTTCTGGGCAGCTGCTGCGCCAGACCGCGGCCCAGGGATGCTCCTACGCGTGCCCGGAGATTTCCAGCTCACTTCTGACATCTGCATTCCTCATCCCTCCACCAGCTGCAGCGCAGGGACCAGCCAGCCCCGCTGCACCCCGGCTCACCGCCCACCCCAGGGGCTGCTCCAGCCCCACATGCTCCCCGCACAAGTCTCCCCGCACCAGAGGGGATCCCAGGAGCAGCTACGATCCTGCACATCCCCGAGTCTGCGGGCAGYGGCTCCACATGGAGCCAAGATGCTGCCTGCCAGGACGGGAAGCCACATCCGCAGYGTCACCGAGGCGGTGACAGGACCCGCAGCCCCTCTGACCCACCTCTCGCTCCTACCCAGCCTCCCGCAGAGGCTCGGTGGCAGTTCGTGCTCCTCATTAGCCTAATTACAGCYGGGCTGACAGCGCAGATCCCCAGCCGTAGCTCTGAGGAGGGATTCTGGCAGGGCCAGAAGGAAGGAGCAGCTTGGCAGGGGCCCAGGCAGGAGCTGCGGTCTGGACACGGAGCCCAGGAGCGCACGGGGGGGCACCGGGGCGCAGCCAACGCCAGTCCCAGCCATGGGGACACGCTCCTGAGGGCTGCAGCACCCAGGGAAAGGCTTCTCCCTGCTCTGCCATGGCTCTTCGTACCCTCCCAGTGACATTTAKGAAGCTCAGGGGAGCAGCCACAGTACACACAGCTCTGCTCTGCCAAGTTCTCACCTCCCACCCCAAGAGAGCATGGCCAGGAGCTGCCCAGCCACAACCCACTGCCAACACCAGGTCTGGAAGGAGCTGGATGGACACGGGACATGACATGGGACATGTGTTAAACATGGCACTGCAACTACTGCCCCAGCTCGGCCCTTACACCACATGCAGAAGCCTYGCTGTGCCCCAAAGCCGACTTGCCCATCACCTCCCACCAACCCCTGATGACCCCAGCTGCCTCCAGGCACCACGGAGCGAGTGCCTCTTACCTGCTCCACGGCTCGGGGGGTCTCTGGCCGGCGGTGGGGGGCGGCTGCTCTGCAGGGACGGGGAGGCAGCAGTGGGCGGCGGCGGTGCCAGACCCCGCAACGGGCCCGGCGCCTTCCTGTGCAAGGAGTTGTGTCTCTGCGGCAGCTCCGGGGCCGCCTCGCTGCTGGGGCTGGAAGGGCCGTTGGGGACACCGGGGGGTTGCCGGTACGGGGGAGGCGGAGGGGCGAGAGACTGGCCCTGAGCCCCTGACCGGAGACTAACTGGGGAGGGAGGGGGTTTGATGGGTGGTGGGGCGGGGGGTCCGTCCCTGCTGCCGGGCAGGCGCTGTCCCGGGGTGGGCGGCAGCGGCTTCTCCCGGTTGTAGGGTGAGGCCTTGGCGTGTGCTGGAGGAGGGGCCGGGGGGGCGGCGGCGCGGCGTCCTGGCGGCGGGGGCGGCGGGGCTGACGAGCTGTGCTTCATGCCGGTGCTGCCCGCRGTGCCGGGCCGGGACAGGTCAGGCAGGGAGGGTCGCTGCGTGCGCGGCAGTTCCGGTGGGGAGCCCCGGCTGCTGTCGGCATCGTCCTGAGGGCGGCTGTTGCTGGCTGGCACRGGAGGCCTGGGGGCGGCTGCTCGGGAGCCAGGGACTTGAAGGGTTTGTTTAGCGGAGCTGTCTGCGAGGAAGGAGAGCACAGTGAGGGGTCGGGCAGGGCACGGGAGCAGTGCTCTGTTCCTGTGCAAAGCCGTGGCTGAGGAGGGCCAGGCCGCAGGGATGGCTGTCTGGCACAGGCAGGGAGCTGGCACCAAACACAGCCACACATGGCTCCTCTCTCACCACTCTACTCTGTGGCCACCACAGAGAACACACAGAGTTCAGCACCACACAAAAACTGCACCCTCTGAGAGGTTTGTTTGTGGGAAACTGAGGCACGGAGAGGGCACAGCCAGCCTGTGCCATGCATGGGGTGTGATTTGAGGTCCTGCCTCTGAATAGCTGAAACCCCCCAGGGAAATACAGTAAGATCCTCAACCCCCTCCTGCTCGTGGCCCTCCCCAGGGACCCTCACACAGACCAAGGGCATTACCTGTGCTGTCCTTGGCTCCCACAGGTCTGAGCTTGGGAACGCCGCCTTGGAAGAGGCCACCCTTGGGCTGGATGGCGGCTGAGCCGGAGCCGTAGCTGCCGCCGCYGCTGCCCTTGGGCTCTGGAAGGAGGGAGGCAAAGAGGTTAAGCCTGGAATTATCCGCTCCTCCAATGAGGAGCTGCTGGGAACCAGATGGGYGAGTGCCCTGAAGGGCACGGCAGTGCCCAGCATGTGGCCGGGAGCCTTCTGGGCACTCACTCTCCAAGATGGGTGCACTCCTGTCATTGATTTGGGTCACTTTCCTGAGCTTGGTCCCTTTACAGATGTCCTGCAGGAGAGCCCCGCGGCCCCGCTGCTCCTCTCGGCTCAGTTTCGGCGGCTCCGTGTTCGCCTGCAGAGGAACAGCAGCTCAGCACCTCCCTGGGACCCCCAGCGCAGGCACAGCCCAGCTTCACATTCCCACCTCCCGGAGCACACCACCCCTGCCACAGCCAGCCTCCTCCAGAGGCAATTCCTCTGGCAAATGGCCCCATGTGGGGACAGGCCACCTGCCCGCCCAGCGAGGTGACCCCTACCTGACTGAGGGTGGGGGGTGGCGGGGGGCCGGGGGGCGGCGGCGGGGGAGGAGGGATCGGCATCCTGGCGGCTCCGGCTGCTCAGTGCTGGGGGCAGGCCTGGGCACTCATGCCTGCGGGAAGGGAGGAAGCGGTCAGGGAAGGCGGGGAAAGCCGGTGGTGAAACACAGCCCCGGGGTAACTGTGCCGGTGCCCTGTGCCCGAAGCTGGTGCAGCTAGAGCTGCTCTCCCAGGTTCTCACAACACCCTGGAGCCAGCACATCCCCACCCCAAATCCCCAGGGCCCCCACAGTGCCTGTAGCCAAAACCCAGGATGTATCTCACACAAACACTTCACTCGGCAGAGAAAACCCGGCCACGCTGATCCTGCACCATCCTTCCAGCTCCTCCAGCTGCAGCCGGAGGCTGCTCACTTGGGAGTGTGACAGTAGCCCGCCAGAGGCATGGCCAGCACTGGCAGGCAGCCCCACGGCCATGGCCGGGGCAAATCTGCCAGATGGCTCCAGCTCCGCAGCAGCTGGAGCAGCACGGGACTGTGGCTCCCATCCCCGAATTTCCCAGCCTCCTGCCTCMTCCATCAATAACCCCCCAACACCAAAGACTCTCTGTGCCCCACAACTCCAAAGCCCTCTCAAAGCTGTCCAAGCAATCAGGAAAACTAGCGTTCCCAGCACGGATCTGACAACGCTCCAACCCAACCCATCACATGCCCAGAACGAACCTGTCTGGCACCGCAGCTCACCTGGAACAGCTCCCGGGGCTCYGGTTGGCACCAGAGACAGAGCACAGAGAGAGGGGGGACAGGAAGAGGAGCCTGAATCACKGGGAGGTCACAGGCCCTCGTGCCGCTGACAGCAGCGCTCAGGTAGGGCTGTTCTGTAGAACGGGCTCAGGAAATTGGAATGTGATGACTGGAGGCCTTGCTCACCACATGGAGACTCCCAGTGCTCGGGACAGACCCTGAGGGAGGGGACAAATGTCCCTCTCTCGGCCACAGATGTCTTTCCCCCAGGAAAACCTATTCCACAGTCACTAACGGGAACCACACCACCAACAGGAGGTAAGGACAGGGCACTTTCACACTCGAAACTTCTGATTTCTGAGCCCTGACCTCCAAGGGCAGGTGACAGAGGGCACGGGAACAGCCCCTACCACAGGGAAAGTTCCTTTGTGACTCAGGTTTGTACCACGTATTAGCAACCAGATCCCTTCTCACAATYATCTCCTGCTAGATAAACTACAACTTCCTAATCCCACGGGACACAGGTCCATCTTCTGTCAGACATTCCCAAGGTGTGAGAACAGGAAGCACAGAGCAGCAGCATGACTGCCACACCAATGGCTCCCCTGCCCTCGGGCAAACCACTGGCTCTGGGRTTCAGGGAAATAAGTAAATAAATAAATATTTAAACTGTCTTTACATTAAAATCAGCTCTTCTACACTGTGAGAACTCCTCAGCTGCAGCCTTTCAGGAAGACATTCCTCCCTCTATCTTCTGGCRTTTCCCAAGTCAGCCAAGATTCCCAGTTCCCCAGTGCTCTCCCCTAACAGAAGTGGTGCTCCTTTGCCCCAGCCCAAGTTCAAGGCCTTGCACCAAGGAGCTGAGATCCATTGATCCCTCTGGATGTTTCACAGTTGGGAATGACACGCAGCAAACCCATCTGGCCTGTGCCTTTCCCACCGGAGCAGGATCACAGACAGCTCCACACGTGCCTGTCTGGGACATGTTGGAACAGGAACGCTTTTCCCTGTKCTCCTTCCCACCCGCAGTGGGATCGGGGCAGCATGAATGGCTCCGGGCAGAGCCTCAGCCATGCTGGATCAGCTGCCTGAGGGAATTAGCAGGGATCCAGCGGAGGAACACGCCAGGTAATGAGACTCCTGACTCGGGCTCGTGTGTCACAGCCCTGAGCCAGCACAGGAGTGATGCCAGGGCCACCACCTCTGTTCCCGACCCACGGGAACGTCACGCATTGTGTCCCCGCTCTGCTCCTGCGCCAGCTAGTTACTCCCAGGGTGACACTTCCCTCGGTGGCCCTGTGACAGGGACACATCTCACAGGCAGACAAACAGGGGTTTGTCAGCTGGCACAAACCACCCAGTGCCACCCGTACCAGGCCAGCGCTGCTGGGGTCTCTCTGTGTGACCTGCTGACACCCTGTGACAGGCACCGGACAACCCACAGGCACAATCCACAGGGACAATCCCACAGAAACAATCCCACAGGGACAATCCCACAGGGACAATCCCACAGGAAAAATCCCACGGGAAAAATCCCACAGGAACCTGTGGAAATGGGGGTATTTCTACAAACAGACCACAAGTCACTATCTCCCCTCTAAGGTGCCCTTACAGCGCTCGGATCCAGGCTCTGACCTAGAAGAGCAAGAGGAAGGGAGGGAAGAGTTTAAGCTAAAGCAGCTTGAGGATAAACTGGAGCTGAATTCCCGAGAAACAGGTCATTCCGTTTCGGCGCACGGCCCCGTTCGGGCTGGGGATTAACAGCAAAGGTCACATTGAAAAACCAAAATCGAGAGGCCCCGAACTAGGCACARGGCTGGGAAAAGCCGAGAGCTCCGGGTGGGAATGGTGCCTTTGAAATACAGCCTGGATCTTTCATGTGCAAGAAGACAGACCCAGCTGATACAGATTAGGGAGACAGGAGCTAAATCCTCCAGGAAAAGAAAAAAGGGGGGAGTTCTCCTCCCAGCACCCCTTCATGCCTGGCAGAAGCCATCCCTGTGAACAACGACTTCTCCTTCTCCTTTGTTCTTCCTTACCAGGACCCTTTCACCAAGACACATCAGAGTCTCTGAGGGCTCCATGTGCTGTTGTGGCAGCTCCCTGTGCTCACAGGGAAAGTGGCTGGGAAGAGCTGAGTCCAGAGACACCAGCASATCAAAGCTAGGCTGAGGCAGGAGGGGCAGGTTTACACAGTGCCTTTGCTTTTCCTACTCAAACCAAACCTCAGGAAACCTCTGAGCAAAGCGTGAGGAAAACACGGTGTGAAAAGCTGTCCCCTGGGAGTAGGGAGAGGTCAGGAGATCGAGGTGACCCTGTGGAAAGCTCCACAGTCTGGATCCCACCATGGCCACAAACCTCTCGGCAGCATTTTGGATCAGCACTTCCCTGTCACCCCTGGGATCAAAACATTATTAAATCCCAAGAACTTGACATTCAGCTGCCCCTTGTCCCCTAAAAAACAGCAGGATTGGGCAGATCCGGCCCGGCCAGGGAGACACGCCACATTTTCCAGGCATTTTTCAAGTCCCTGTTTGCTGAGGAGGGAATTGAAACGCCCTCCCCAGCAGCAGCCCCCATCCCGCTYATCCCGGGGGGATTGCTGCTGGAGCAGGACAGGCAGCAGCAGTGACCTTCAGCCGCCTATTTCCTCGCTTTTCAGGGGGATTTGGGCTCCGGGCGGATTTGTATTTCACATTTGCAAGCCCGAGCTGCAGCGCCTCATCCTCAGGGAGGCTTTGAACTGCAGATCAAGAGGAATTTCCACCCTCTGATGTCGGTGCAGAAATGCGGCCRCACCGGTTTGGGAACGACTTCCAAGGCTGGACCTCTCCAACACCCGCCCCCGCGCCTTTATCTTCCCTCTCTTCCCATCCAAACCCGCAGTTCCTCGTTACCCCCTCCCAAATTCCGAGCCTGTCCTCCGCAGCAGCCTGACATTCCTGCCCGCTCCCGAGGAGCTGAGGATGCTACATAAATAATTTATCCTGAGCGACAGCCATCGCAGGATTTAAGGTCATTCAGGCTTTTAAAAATCCTATCAGCATGCTTCCCGAGCCGAGCTGCCAGCTCCATTTGGAGCATCCCGCGGAGCCGGCGCATCCCTGCGTGCAGACAGACAGACACGCTCCGGCCCCGCGGGATCCAGACGCTCCCTGTGAATTATTAACAACCCGCGGGCTCTGACGAGGCGTTTTTAACCAAAAACCCTCAACTCCTGAGTTTGTAATTCCTCAGGGACGAGCTCCACTGCCTCAGTTTCCCCATCCATCCATGGCTTCCACAGCCTCAGTTTTCCTATCCATCCACAACTTCCACATCCTCTGTTTTCCTATCCACAGTTTCCTCGGCCTCAGTTTCCCTATCCAGTTTCCTCAGCCTCAGTTTCCCTATTCAATTTTCCCATTCCCAGCTTCAATTGCCTCAGTTTCCCCATTCTCAGCTTCCACAGCCTCAGTTTTCCTATCCATCCACAACTTCCACATCCTCTGTCTCCCTATCCAGTTTCCTCGGCCTCAGTTTCCCTATTCACAGTTTTCCCATTCCCAGCTTCAATTGCCTCAGTTTCCCAATTCCCAGCTTCCACATCCTCAATTTTCCTATCCATCCACAACTTCCACAGCCTCAGTTTCCATATCTATCCACAACCTCCACATCCTCAGTTTCCCCATTCAATTTTCCCATTCCCAGCTTCCACAGCCACAGTTTTCCTATCCATCCACAACTTCCACATCCTCAGTTTTCTTATTCAGTTTCCTCGACCTCAGTTTCCCTATCCAATTTCCCTATGCAATTTCCTCAGCCTCAGTTTCCCCATTCACAGTTTTCTCATTCCCAGTTTCCACAGCCTCAGTTTCCCCATTCCCAGCTTCCACAGCCTCAGTTTCCCCAGCCCTGGCTTTCCCATTCCCAACCACACAACCCCTTTTTGCTCCCAGCTCATCTCAGGTCACTCAGCAGAGGAAACCTTTAATCAGGAGCAAGGAACCCCGTCCTGAAATTCCACTCAGCAGCAAAGGGAAAAGCAGGAAAAGCCCGTCCCGCCAGACCCGCAGCCTTCCCTGCCCGCCCCCCCTTTCCCGAGGAGGCAAAAGGAAGCCGGGAAGGGAGAGGTGGCACACGAGGGGCTGGGCAGGAACCGCTGAATTATTCCAGTGGGAGGAAGTGGCGAGAGACGCGGGGACTTCCCGGTTCCTTTGAGCCGGAGCTGGGAATTCCGGGTGCAGCAATCCCAGCAGARTGGAATTGTGATCCCGATCCACCAGCCTTCAGCATCGTGGGCAGGAAGGCTGCTGGAGTGGGAGAAGGGAGTCCTGGATGTGTTTCCCTGGAGCTCCAGTGTTGCCCAGAAAAGYTGTGGCTGCCCCATCCCTGGAAGTGTTCCAGSTTGGACAGGGCTTGGAACAAGCCCTTCCAGTGGAAGGTGGGATTTATGGTAATTTCCAAATCAAATCAATCCAGGATTCCACGAAACTCTGTGTCCATGGGCATTCCTAAGCCACCACTGGTTCCAAAAGCCGACTCCCTCCTTCTTCTGTACCCTAAATAAGGACCCCAGACAGACCCCAGTGCATCCCCAGCCCTTGCTGGTTCTGTGCACCCACAGGGTGGGAATCCAGGGGTCTCTTGGGAAGGGTGGAGGGGGCCAGGGGGTCAGTGTCAAGGTCAAGAGGAGTCCTGGGAGTCAGTATGGGGGTCCCAGGGGTCACAGAGGGGGTCCAGGGGTATCCTGGGAAGGGTGGAGGAGTACAGGGGGTCAGTGTGGAGGTCAAGAGGAGTCCTGGGAGTCAGTATGGGGGTCCCAGAGGTCACAGAAGGGGTCCAGGGGGATCCTGAGAAGGGTGGAGGGGTCCAGGGGGTCAGTGGGAGAGTCAGTGGAAGGTCCAGAGGGTCAGTGGAAGGTCCAGAGGAGTCCTGGGAGTCAGTATGAGGGTCCCAGAGGTCACAGAGGGGGTCCAGGGGGGTCCTGGGAAGGGTGGAGGGGTCCCAGGGATCATGGTAGGGGTCCCAGGGCAGACAGAGGGGTCACACTGGGGGTCCCTGGCCCCTGGTGCTGCCAGTTCTGGACACTCCCACAAGGGGTCTTGGGGAGGGAACACTGAGCGACCTAAGGGTCAGGGGAGAGGGGTCAAGAAGGTCATAGGGGGAGTCCCAGGGGTCATAAGGGGAGTCCCGGCGATACTCTAGGGTCAGAGTCTCTGAGGTGGGGGTCCCAGACCCCCAGCCCCACCATTTCTGGGCACCATCAGGCTGGGAAGGGGTGGAGRGGTACAGGGCATCAATATGGGTGTCTCAAAGGGGTGCCAGAAGTCACAGGGGGGTCCCAGGGCCCCAGCCCTACCAGCTCTGGAGACCCTCAGGGTGGGGGTCCAGAGGGGTCCTGGGGAAGGGGTCCCTGAAGTGACCCAGGAGTCAGGATGGAAGGGTCCAGGGGTCAGGGTGGGGGTCTCAGGGCAGTCCCAGAGAACACCATGGGGTCGGGGTGAAGGTCCCAGACCCTGCTGGTTCCAACCACCCCAAAGATGGGAGTCCAAGCAGGGGTGGAGCAGTCCAGGAGGTCAATGTGGGGATCCCAAGGGACGCACAGGGGTCACAGAGGGGTCCCAGGCCACTGCTCCGGCCAGTTCCAGGCACACCCATAGTAGGGGGGTCCTGAGGAGGGATCCCAGAGATGATTTAAGGGTCAGGGTGGACGGGTCAAGGACAGTGTGGGGGTCACAGAGRAGACCCAGGGGTCAGAGTGGGGGGTCCCCATGGTGGGGGGGTCCCAGGCCCCCAGACCCACCGGTTCTGGGCACACCCAAYCTGCGGGTCCGGGGATGCTCTGGGAAAGGGTCCCTGACGTGAGTCTGGAGTCAGAAAGGTGGGGAACCTCACAGGCGCCCCAGGGGTCAGGGTGGGAGGGTCCAGGGGGTCAATGTGGGGGCTCCAGCCCCCCCGGTCCCTGGCACTCCACAGCCGGCCCCAGAGACCCCTCAGCCGGCTCCGAGAGCCCTCAGCCGGCCCCGGACAGCCCCCAGACCCGCGCAGGCCTCAGCGCACCCCCCGCCCCGCCGGCCCCGGGCTCTGCACAGGCCCCACACGCCCACCCCAAGCCACCGCACCCCTCACAGGAGCCCCGCCGCCGCAGTCCCGGCCCCCCGAGCCCCGCGAACCCCGGCCCGGCCCCGGCAGTCCCCCCCGGCCCTCCCCCGCTCACCCGCGGCTCCTCCCGCCGCTCCCGGCCCCGGCCCCAGCCCCGCCGAACGAAATGGCGGTCGTGGCTCTTCTGCGCCTGCGCGACCGAACAGGATGTRGGCGGGGCACGGTGGGGCCGCGGCGCCATGATGAGGAGGTCGARTGGCCATGCGGGAAGGGCGCGTTACCGCCATCTTGGGAAGGTCACRCCGGTTTTGTGACAGTCCAGTGCCRCCGCGTCCCGGTGACCGAAGGGAGAGTGACACCGCCGGGAAGAGATTCACTGCTCTGTGCTAAAACGGCGCTGGAGAGCCGCGGTGCCGCGACTAAGCGCGGCTGCTCCCTCCGTTCCGCCTTTAMGCCATATTGAGAAGGTCGAACAGACCCTCAAGTAGTCGCCATGTTGGATGGGTCGACGGGGGAACCCTGGCGGCTGCCATGTTTGGAAGGTCGGGGAGCGGCTTCGCGCCATCGCCATCTTGAGAAGGTCGGATCCACGTGGGCACCAGTGACGTCATCGACAATGAGGCTGTGACGTCATCCCCATCACATCATGACATCAGAGACAGGAGCCGGGACAGACTTTTATTGGGGCTCCCCGCCCCACCCCCAGCTTGATTTTTTGTTGTTGTTTTTTTTTTTTTTTCCTTTTTTCCTCCTTTTTCTTAAAAAATAAATGTACAATTCCGGACAGCGGCGGTACAAAATATACACGTCTTGGGGGGGCGGGGGCGGGGCGCACATACAAAAATAAAGGGGACAGGGGGGACATGGGCCCCACCCCCCCGGGGACCCCTTCACCCCAGCCAGGGGAGGGGACAGGGAAAAGGGGGGAGATGCGCCAGGGGGTCCCCAAACCCACAACCCCCCCCAAGGGTGGGGACAGCACCCAAGGGCCGGGGCTGGGCAAAGTGCGTCAGTGCTGGGGGGCTCCGGGCCCCCCGGGGGGGTCCCCGGGGTGGGGGGGTCCCGGGGTTTGGGGGTCCCGGGGTGGGCCCCCCCTCACTGGCTGCCGGGCTCCAGCTTGTAGGACAGCTCGAAGAACAGGTTCTGGTTGTCGATGACGCGCAGCTGCCGCACGTAAGCCTTGGTCTGCAGCTGGGACGGGGACGCCTCCATCTCCAGGCCTGGGAACGGCCCCGGAATTGGGGACAGAATGGGGATGGAGAGATGGGAAAATGGAGAGTGGGAATGGGGGTGTGGGGATGGAGAAGATGAGGATGGAGGGGATGTGGGAATGGGGATGGAAAGAGGGAAGATGGAAGTGTGGGATGGGAGATGGGGGAATGGGGATTGAGGGATGTGGGGATGAGGGTTGGGGATGCAGGGATGCAGGGATGCAGGGTTGGAGGAATGGGGATTCAGGAATGAGGATTCAGGGATGCAGGAATGAGGATACAGAGAAATAGGGATTCAGGGATGAGGGGGCAGGGATTTAGGGTTAAAGGGATGGGGATTCATGGATGCAGGATTCGTGGATGCAGGAATGGGGATACAGGGATGGGGATTCAGGGATGGGGATTCAGGAATGGGGGTGCATGGATTTAGGGATGTAGGATGAAGGGATAGGAATTCAGGGATTC